AGTCTATGATAGGAGCCAAAGATTTCCTGCTTTTAAAAATGTGGGGACCCTAACTTTCCCTTTCTTTTACTACTAACTTGACTCCAGAGAGCACATTCCTTGGTTACTAAAGTAGGTAGTTTCATGCAAGACTTGCAAGTAAGAGGGAAATTTTGTTGATGTAAGCATTTACTTATGCAGGCCACCAAATCATTGGTGTACACTTAAAGATGATGTAAACAGTATTTTATTTATTTATTACTTTTATTAAAGAAACTGACAAAAGAGATGCTGAAGTTTCAGGATCTTGCTCTGTGTCTAACTGTCTGCTAGGTGAGTGCTCCCCCTCAGGACCACCTTAGCTTGTCGGATGTAAATCGATGCACTACAGATGAAGCTCTTAAAGGGTTATCTTTGAGACAAAGCATGGAACGGTCAGGACTCAGGATCCAGATATTCGAATGTGGCCAAATGGCCTGGGCAGGTTAACTGACCAGAGGATGCCAGCTATCTCACTATGAAACCAGGAGAACAACCTCCTTCAAGTGAGCCGCGGACGGCAGTGAAATATCTGAGAACGCCCAGCAGAGCACGTGGAGGTGTTGAGAGAAACCCTCCACCGCTTTCCAGCCTCAGAATCATAGCAAACAGAGCTAAGGACAGACTCTAAGATGCTGCATGGTATTGAAAGAACAGCTCCTACTGGATGATGAAGACATCCAAGTCTTTTCATTTCAAAAAGAGACATCCTATTTATTTATTTGTTTGTTTGGGGCAAGAACATGGGGTTTGGAAAGATGCTGAGCTTGCTAGCTGCGTCTCCCAGAGAAAAGTCAGCATTTCAGATGGAAGCTTTTGGAAGGCTCCATTTTCCCATCACCAGGAGCCTGCTGCCTGATGAAGAAATGTCAGGGCCAGCAATGCCGCAGCACTCGAGGATGCCAAGAGCAACCCAGACTGGGGTGTGGCTCCGTGGTAGAGCACATGCTGAAGCCCCGGGTTCAGTCCCCAGCACTGAAAAGTAAAGGAACAATCTTAGACAACTCAGTGCAGATGCACTAACACCACCAGAACACAGGTCTGGTGTTAAACCCATCCAGCCTTTGCTCCACCTTCGCTCCACGTGTCTTCTGTTTTATTACAGCCCTGAGGCATCTCAGAGAGGAGGAAGGATACTTTCCTGCCCACCAAGGCCCGCAGAGCTGAGGCTTCCCACACTCTCCACTCGTAGCTCTTGCCTCCAGCTGCCCCATGTAGTCAGTAATTGTCCGCCTAGAATCCCGTAATTCATTCTCAAATAAAGAAGAAGGAAGAGGAGGAGAGGAAGAAGATGCCGAAGTAGAAGGCATTTTTGAAATGCAACGTGATTTATAGCATTTGCATTTAAATCGTTTCTTCCCAAGTTGCCACAATATTGTTAACAAGCCTGGAACCCTCGTTCCACTCTTCAAAACTGAACACGTTTAGATGTAAGGCATAATCAATTGAAAGACATCATTCTCTTCCTGAGGAAGGAATATATTTCCCAGCAACAATCAACTCTCACTTAGGAATTGGAAAAGCCTTACAGTACCATCGAAGGGGAAATGGCCCTGGCTGGGTACAGCGGACTTCCCCATTTTCTCCACTGGTCTTTTGATGGGGGGACATTTGTGTCATGAGAGGAACTGAGAAGTGAAGTGACCACCATAAAAAATCAGAGTCCCGGAATGGAGGAGAGGGGGTGAAGACCACGTGGGGCAGCTGGAGGCCAGGGCTGCGGTGCGCTGGGCAGGGAGGCACTGTCAGAACTGAAGAGAGCAATATGACAGGGTGGGGGTCCTGGGACGACGTACCTGGAGAAGGACTTTGAAAACAGCGACGGCTACCAGGGAGGAATCATAGGCATGTAGTACCCAAGGACGTTGCGTTTTCTCACTTGAAAACCCACGAGGTGAATCAGCAGTTCTCACACGTTTGGGTCCCTGGAGCCTCTTGGCAAATGCTCAGGAGCTTTAATTTATGTAAGTCATGCCTATCGCTACGTTCCACAGGAGAAACGAAGACTGAGGAAATCTTAAACCAACACAAGAATATACAAGACTAGAAGGTAGGGGTGTAGGCCAGAGGTAGGGCCCTTGCCCAGCATGTACGAAGCCTTGGGCTCAAATCTCTCTCTCTCTCTCTCTCTCTCTCTCTCTCTCTCTCTCTCACACACACACACACACACACATACAATATTGCATTTCATTAGCCATCTGAACAACACACTTCATGCAGCCTCTAGAAAAATGCCACCGTGTACTCCAGAAAATAAGAATTTAAAAGACAAGTCAGGCCTGGTGGTCCATGCCCGTAATCCCAGCTCTGCAGGAAGCTGAGGCAGGAGGGTCTCAGGTTTGAGTCCAGCCTGGGAAACATGAGACCCTGAATTTTTCAAAAAAAATAAAATAAAATTCAAAAGGCAAATAAGATCTTAGTATTATTACAAAAACAACTTGACAAACCCCTGTGGAGGTCTCAGGGACTCCTAGGGGCCTCTGAACACACTTTGAGAATCCTGATATAGAGCGATCCTGAGTTTTCTGGAATCTCCTCCAGGGCCACAGCTTGGGTTTGTCAGAAGAGGCAAGTGGACAGTCCCAAGATTTCCCACCCTTCTCCCATCAGAGAAACATACTTCTTATTAAAGAAAATTTTATGTCCTATAAACATTTACATGCCACATGACCTTTCAGTGAACAACAGACTGGACATTCAGTGGAGGACTCTTAGGATTCCATCCCCGGTGATGTTGGAGATGCTAATGATGAATTAGTCAAGTCATGCTTATACACTCTGATGTCCAGCCACGACAAATCCCTGAGGATGCATCTCTCAGAGAACCTAGAAGAAAAAAGAAAAGAAAAAGTGCTAGGGCTATGCTGGGGGAGGCTTACCCAGCATGTGCAAGGCCCCAGTTCTAGCCCCAGCACCTCAAAAACAGAACAAAACAGAATTGTAGTTTTTAAAACCACTGGTGCAATGTGTATTGTAGGCACAGTACTTATTAGAGAAAAAAACCTGAGGATTAGGAAAGATGATCTTCATTCTTAAAAGGAGGGAAATATTTCAATCAAGCATTGATATTTCAATTGTAGGAACAGTGTATATATATATATATATATATATGTATGTATGTATATATATACCTACCTTAAGGTTTCTAGAAAAATCAAAAAAGTGTGTGTTTCTAGTGAGGAAAATTTTATAAAATATACTAGCAAAGAAGACATATCATAACATGGAGAGAATATTATAAAATAATGTATTACAACTGTTTTATAAGTAAATATGTTTACTCAGAAATTGTTTAGTGAGTGCCTTGAGTGAGCCTGGCACTAGTCCGGGCATGCATTCAATACAAATGCTCTTTTCTTTCTCTTTCTTCATGGTAACGCTGGGGATGGAACCCAGGGCTTCACAAATGCGAGGCAAGTGCTCTACCACTAAGCCACAACCCCAGTTCATAAATGCCCTTTTTAATTTAAAAGAAAAATCAGCATATTTGCTTTGGAGGTTATAAAGGCAAGAGAGGGACAATCAGGGTGTAGCATCTGCAGCCACCTTGGGGACCCTGGGGAAAGTCTGGCGATGGGCTGTGGCAGTTTTAAGAGAGGGATCTGTCTCTCTTCAGGAAGTCGGTTAATTGGAATTTGCCCTCAGGACGTTACAGGACCAGTTACAGGACCCACGAGTCTCCACTGCTCTGTCCTTGGACATCCTGAACACCCCTCAAAATGACCTCTGTCGATGTATGGACCACAGAGCTATCGATATGGAAAGGTTCTGGAATTAAAGATGCTAACGATGAACCAGTCAAGTTATTCAGAAACTTTTTCTTAATAACATCCGCCTATGTCTGCAGCATCCTGATCCAGAAATGGACCACGACAAGCCCTTATGGGGTCCCTTGAAGTCAACACTGTCCTCTTTGGGAGCCGTCCTGGGACTTCTTGCTGAGCAGACTGCTTTGTGGCACTGGAGCTGTGCGTTCACGGCAGTGTGCGGGACGCTCCTCGCGGCTGCACACCACGTTGTGGGATTGGGCCCATCCCTGGGCGGCTTAGGCTGTTCCTCTCAGTGCTCCATGACTGTCTGCATGTGATGTGTCACAGTTTGTGTGTGTGTGGAAGTTCTTTCCCACAGACCTCTTATCCATAGAAAAGTTCAGAACTTTCCTTATGCCCAGGAGGGATCTGCAGAGACACTCGCCCTCCCTTGTCCACTTTAAATTGGTCTGACCAAAGGAATTTTTTTGTTTTCCTTCCATATGGAAATTAGAATCGATCCGACTATAAATCAGGTATCAATCACTTTGACGAGGAGTTATGGAAAGGATAAAGGGGTTAATATGTGGATTACTGTCCCTCGTGAGGTTTTCCCTCATTCCAAAGAAATCAGCCTGGCTCTTGATGGTGACCCGTTCTCAAAGGTGGGAACATGTCTGGGGTTTCTTTCAGGTTCCAGGACAGTGCCCTGCGCCCAGGGCTGCCAATCAATGTTTGGTCCTGGTGGACAGAGCTCAGGGAGGGTGGAAGGGAAACAGCATTAAAACAGGATACAAAGGCAGGGGGTCGGGGGAGGCACCTAAAATTACCACTTTAGAAAATAAAACGACGTTTGTGCACAGAATAACACAATTTCTTATTTGCACAACCCACCTCTGACATTAATCAGCACCTTTACCTTTGTGCAGGATGTCATCTTTTCCAACCCTAGGAGTTTACAGATTTTGTGCTTTGAAGTGGAGGCGGGGGTAGGGTTGAGGGGAACCATCCCTGCCCTAAAAGGAATGAGGAAATGAGAACTGAGCAGTGTCTGGCTGGCTCGGTCTGTGTGACAGCCCGTGATGTTCCTTCCGGTCCCAGCAATATTGTGAATTTCCACCTGCCCGCCCCTGCAGTTTATAACGCACAGCACATGAAGTTAGGGCAGGTCAGTCCCTCTGTCAGTGGGCTAGCCAGAGCGGAGTGACATGCCGTGCCTCTCCTTTCCCACAGCGCACCCGAGATAAAAGCACTCTGGCCAGAGACCCTCCGAGGGTAAGTACATAGAACTAACAGGACTAGCAAACGAGCTGCCTCCCAGGTCACAGCTCCCTGAAATGACGTGCAACAGAAAACAGCGATGCGGAGGGTATGTCCGTGTTTAAAAAGCTCCAAACATGGAATGCTTGGCTTCAATGCGAAGGTGGCACTTTCAGGGAGTAGGAATTCTTTAAATGTTATCTTTGGTTCGTGCTTACTATACGTAGCATCCTGGATATACACTTTATACTTTTTGAGTTGGATGAAAAAAAAATAATACGGAGCAATTAATATAGTACTTGAGAGCTCTCCAGGAAAAAAAGGGTAGTTGTTATTGGAATTAATATTCAGCCGATCTCTTGTTGAGGATATAATAATAAATAGCAAAGTTCGTGATGGTAAGGACATCTGGTTTAAGGATTCAGAAATAAGTGCAATCAAATACTGTTCTTAGTGGCATCTGACATTTGGTAACAGGCTGAATGAAAACTTTTCTAACAGTTTCAAACTCCGCTTTGGCAAAGAGGCACTGAAATTGGCCAACTTATTCTTTTCCATGTGATTTATTGTAGACAGAGCCAAGGTCCCTCAGAAGTGAAATCCGTCCCTAAAAAGCCAGCCCAGATACCAATGAGGTTGAGAAGCAACTTCGATGCGGTATGTGCCCATTTTACATCTGCTCATTCATATTTTCTAGAGGCAAGAGCCAAAAGACATTTACTTAATTTTATTTTATTTTTTTCTCTTTTAGTCAAAAACACTAAGTGCCAGTAACATGGAGACATTAATTGAATGTCAGTCAGAGGTAAGGAAGTGATTTTTTTTAAACTTCTTATTTGTATTACCAGAAGATGAAAAGCTTTCTGTTTTAATTGAATATTATTTAGGCTGTTTGATTATCAGTCAGAAATGAACATGATAAATGCAACAAATTAAACATATTAATTGAGATCTCCTATGATACTGATTCTTACTAGAAAAATCAATACATTCTATTGACCTAATTGTTAAGATGAATAAAATGTTGTGTGTTTTGTGGAGAAAGACTGAATAGATTTCTTCAGTCACGATTTATACTGATTGATATGTGATTTATATTTTTAGGGTGACATCAAGGAACATCCCCTGTTGTTGGCATCATGTGCGAGTGAAGACAGCATTTGCCAGCTAATTGGTGAGTTTTGAAAAATACTGATCTTTTCTGCAAGTGCTAACGACCAGTGCTCTTGGTTTGCAAAACCACAGTATTTTACTCTACGAGGAATTTTTTTTTTATAACTGTTCTCCTAAAGACCGCAGAACATTAACCCCTGACTGGCCGGTGTGCTCCAGCTCACTAGAACAGCGAGCACCGTCAGTACAGAGATCCTCTTACAGGCAAACTCCGCAATGCCAGGGGGTTTTAGTGGGGCTGACAAATCTCCTGGCCACTTGTTTTGATGGTCACAGCGTGTGCACGTTGAAAAATACACAGTGCCCCTTTTCTGGGTTCTTCCTTCCCTAATGGAGAATGCATCTAAGAGCTCGTGAAGCGATTGTTGTTGCTCTCAAATCCCAAAGAACCTACATTTGCTCTTATTTATTTATTTATTTTTACGGTGCCTTTCATTGTAACATAACCCCGAGCCCGTTTTCCTGAAGACTCAGGACAGGGCACTTCACTTTCATCCGGCTTCTACTTGCCAGTACAAAGCATGTGGTAACATATGCCAGTCATTTAGAGAATGCAGATTTCATGATTAGGCCAAAGAGAGAAGGAAGGGAACTTTTGAGATACAATACTCATTGCGCACTCTGGATTTTTGGAAGAACAGAACACTGACAATGTGTGGCTGATAACTTTCAAATGCCAGGACTAGGTTCCAGCCTTCCTAAAGCAACCCATGGGGCCCCTGTCCTAAAGTAGCACCCTGAAAGCCAAGGGGACAGCAGAAGTCCTGAGTGGTGTGGCTCCCTCTAGTGACCACGTAGTGCTAGTGCGGCTGCCGAGGGTTGATGGGGCCCGCCCAGCCAAGAACCTTCTCAAGGATCTTGGGCAAGTAAGTCACTTCCTCTCCTGTGAAGTTTTGTTTTCATTCACCAGCCAAAGTAGCGAATTAAAATAATCTATTTAGTCATAAATGCCCCCTGTAGTTATTAAGGCTAGTACCTTAAGATGGTTGTTTATGACCTGCACAGTTATGTTTTGCTAATTTCTTGCAACAAATAGCTGAAGAAGATAAAAACAGGAAAGGTGGGGACGATGAGGAACCTCGGTGTGATATACAAGGGCTGGTTGCCCTGGTAACCAAGTGGTTGTTTTTTCAACTGTTTTTCTAGATCAAAAGTCATGCCCTTTGCTTTCTCAGTTTTTCTGAATTATTTCCCCACACGACTTACTAGAGATGCCAGTGTGCGACCGACGTAGCCATTTCCTTGGATCCTTGCTTATGAACCCTGTAAGCTGATTTTTCTCTTTCTCATGCTTTCTTGTCTCTAGAAGTTAAGAAGAGAAAGAAAGTTCTGTCCTGGCCCTTCCTCATAAGAAGACTGTCCCCTTCGTCAGATTTCTCTGGGACTTTGGAGCCAGACTTGAAAGTGTCACTGTTTGATCAACCCTTGTCAATTATCTGCCAAGAGAACGGCGCCCTGCCCAGACCCATTCAGGTGGGTGTGCTTCACTTGTAAACCTGCTTTGGTTTCTGACATGTGAAAAATCCTTGGATAATATGAGGGTGCTTCTCCTACTAACCTTATTGGGGTTGAGCTTTGGAATTTTCCATTCTTGCAAATGGGGCTCCCACATCCAAGCACAGTTGGAAGAGAAGACGCCAGTTTATGTTCTAGAAATTAGTGTTTGCCAGTGAGCTCAGGGTGACTTCACAGAGGCAAGAAGGCTGGAAATGTATAGCTTCTGAACATGAACAGGCAGAGACAGAGTACAGAGGATATGATCAGAGAGCCCACGTTTTCATGGAAGTATCAACAGGTGGGAGGCCCGATGTCATTTGAGACTGAAAAAATGAGCGCTTCACAACTTACCTCTTAGAAAAACAGCAGGGTGAAGGGAGACAGTTGGCAGTGGCTGCCCTAGGAGCCAGCTCTGGCCTCAAGACTCTCGTTATGACTATCTTAGTATAAAAAAGAGAATTAGCTTTGGGGGGAAAGGATATTTTACGACAGGTAAACTGAGGGACTATTCATGAACATTGTCTTAATTCTCTTTTTCCAACTTGTATAGATTTTCATGTATCTGTACCAGCAAAGTATGTGTCCAAGCCTTGGGTCACCATTTCCTGATCCCACGTCTGTTCCCACAGGATATTCTCGCTATCCTCTGCCTTAAAGGCCCCTCGACTGAAGGAATATTCAGGAAAGCAGCCAGTGAGAAAGCCCGCAAGGAGCTGAAGGAGGCGCTCAACTGCGGGGGAACCGTGGACCTGGAAGGGCTGCCCGTACACCTGCTGGCCGTGGTCTTCAAGGTGAGCCACCACACCTGGGTCAGAGGGCTCCGCCTCCACCGCCTCAGGCAGCAAGGAGCAGGCTCCTCTTCCTACGAGGCACAGCTGAAACTGGAGTCTCATTACTGTAGCTGAGCCTCTTGATTCTTCTCATAAGCACGCTGCTTTAACAATCCCAGGTTTCATTCCTCCAAAACGTTGGAAATTTCCTTGTCCTGGGGCAGAACCCATACCCCTAAATCTGTACCCTCGGAATTCACTGCTCTGGAGATGGTGCCTCTTCCTCTCCCTGTTGGTCAGGAAGTTCCTGACACAGCGTGAGCTTGAGCAAGGTTTCCTCAGATGAACCAAAGGCAGGATGCGGGGATGGATGCGTCTGTGACAGGGCCAGCTGGGGCACCTAGAGGTGGAACAGAAGTCAGGGGAAGTAAGGCCGCAGCACAACACGAGGTGTAAAGAGCCACACCCCATTTTCCCCTCCAGGACTTCCTCCGGAGCATTCCCCTGAAGCTGCTGTCCTGTGACCTCTTTGAGGAGTGGATGGGTGCCCTGGAGAAGCAGAACGAGGAGGACAGAATTGAGGCCCTCAAGCAGTAAGTCCTCGAAGTCATCCCAGGAGGCAGGGCCCAAGGGTCTCCATCTTTTGCTCCTTCATAAAACTGGCCAAGTGCACCGCAATCCATGATTCCCTGAAATTGTGACCTTGGGGAATTAGAGTGTAATCGCTCATTCACTCCCAAGATAAAAACCAGGAGGTTCCCTGGATTTTTTAAAAGTAATTTTAGCCAAATAGAAGAAAGTACTTCTTCAAAACACAGAAAATGACTTTAATACTCACAGAGTTCAAGGAGTGGAGGATCCAAAAATATAAAGCGTTCAAAAGGGTATAAGAGAAAATCAAACGTGGAGACTTTAACCCAAACTAATCAGCGGAGAGTAGGAATTAGGATTATTCTTAACTACAGTGATTGGTGTCGAGCAAGACACTTCTACCATAAACTTCCCGTAAAGGGTAGGAGAGCCATTTGGAAGGGACTTTTTGTTCATAAAATTCCACTGCATATTCTCTATGTTCTTATAATTATCAAAAAGGAACACTATATAAGACATTCCAGTGAGTCACAATGATTGCATATATGACAGTGTGACCTCTTGGAGACAGCACTTTTGCCACATCCTAAGGAAGCCTATCTATGTATTAGAAATGTCCCCCACAGCTAAAAAAATTTTCAATGCCAACTTTGCAGACATGAAGACATCAGAGTGTTTGCCCCACCACCACCAAAAAAAAAATCCTAAGATTATCACAATAATTTTCTACCTAGACATAAAACTCTTTGATAACAACAATTCTTCTGAGAAAGGAAAAGGATCTGTATATTGGGGTCACCATTTCATTCTTTTGAAAAAGTGAGACTTAAAAATCCAATGATTGTCGTTAGTAGTAATGTTTCTATTTAAGTGCTTCCTAGAACCACATTTATGGAAACATCCAGACAGTCTGACTTATTCTCAGAATGGTATAGAAATGGGTCATCTTGGTTTGGTGCTCACAGTTCAAAAAAAATGTCAAGAAAATCAGTCTTGTAATGTTCAAAGAGAATTTCTACAAAGTTAAATGCTTACTCAACAAAATGGTTTTGAAAATGTAAAGGCACATCCTGGTGCTTAATGCAGGCTCTGTTTCATAATTTAAGATCCATATAAATAATAAAGGGCGGTGCTACTGGTGTCACGGTTCTAGCAACCTTGTGGTTAATCAGTCTCATTCCGTGTCAGTTGCCGCTAAAGTATCTGAATGGGCATTTCACAATATTACTGGGAAAATGCACCTTCCCCATTTTAAAGGAAGTCTGGTTTGGGCAGAGCTTTGAACAAGCTACAATAAGGCTGGATAGGCCATCAGCCCCCTTAAAAATTACTGTCCCTTCTCTTTATTCCAGGGTTGCAGATCAGCTCCCCCGACCCAACCTCCTGCTGCTCAGGCACCTGGTCTACGTGTTGCACCTGATCAGCAAAAACTCCGAGGTTAACAAGATGGACTCCAGCAACCTGGCTATCTGCATCGGCCCCAACATGCTCACCCTGGAGAATGACCACAACTTATCACTGGAGGCCCAGAGAGACTTGAACAATAAGGTTGGTTTTGCTTATTTATGAGAAACCTCTGGTTTATGATATCACCCTCTTTGGCAAAAGCCAAGCAATGAGACACTTCTGGATTTCTCAAAGTGACTCAGGTCACAGTTCAGGTCTAAAATGCAGAGTGCTATTGTTGTGGCTCTGCTCTCTTAGAGGTGTGGAGGAAACTGAATGAGTCTGTGTCCTGTCTTCCTGGGAGACAGAGAACATCACACCCCCTGGGTAGGAAGCCCTCTTGCTTCTGTCTTTGGGACCAGGACCCAAAGCACTCGGGCAGTCCAACTACCAATTTGGGAAACTATCTGCTTAAACAATATTTTTTGCATTTTCACAGTAATATTATGAAATGTCCACTCAGATACTTTAGTTATTTTAAAGTCAGTTTTTTAAAAATTCTTCCATTTAAAAATGCATATCTCAAAACATATATCTAACTTGAATGTATATTGTTACCAAATTCCAGTATGCTCTAGTCTCATTTGGGCACCTCCCTAGTAGTTGACTCCAGTGCGTCCTCCTTCCTTGCCTCTGTCCTAAAGCAAATGGCCCTAAAGTTTACGATCTGCTTGTTTTTTCTCCAAAGGTAAAGACATTGGTGGAATTCCTCATTGACAACTGCTTTGAGATATTCGGGGAGAACATTCCAGCTCATTCCAGCATCACTTCTGATGACTCTCTGGAACACACCGACAGTTCAGGTATAGACTGTGCTCTCATTCGATTGTGATCCTGGGGAGAAATTTGTGCCAGTCCATACTAGTGATGTGAAGTCTCCCTGGTATTTAAAGAATTTGCCTTTACAATCACCAATCAGACTGGCCTCGAGTCTATAGGAAAGTCAGGAAACCTGAGAACCTTGCTCCCAAATTTCTTTCTAATATCTCTTCCGTCACTCTTTTAGCCTGAGTCTGAAACTTTTCTCCTTCATATTCTAGATCTCAAATAAATGCTAACTTTACTAAGTAACCTTGAACTATATATCTGGGTAAGAAACTTTAGTCTCTATGTAATGAAGTACAAGTCTATTAAAATGGAAATGGATCCTACAAAGGAACCATTCAAAGGATTAGTTTTAAGATTTAAAATAAAATTTAAAAAAAAATTCAGTGAAGACTGTCCTTCTTCCTTCTTCTCCTTACTCTTTCTCTCTTTCCCTCTCCCTTTTTTCTTCCTCCCTCCCTCATTCATTTCCTCTTTCTTCTTTACTTCTTCCCATCTGAAATAAATTTGGAAACAAAATTTTAATGTGATTTTAAATTTCTAGTCATATCACGCTCCAAAACAGTTCCACCAAATCACCTAGAACCATATTGGGCATGAATAGGGTGGGCTCTAGTAAATATTATTTCTTAAAGAACTTGAACACAAAGCTCAACTCTTCATTAACTTTCCCCAGACATGTCGACCCTGCAGAACGACTCAGCCTACGACAGCTATGATCCTGACTTTGAACCCACCAGTGCCATCCACAATCCCAGCAGGCAGCCCCAGGTTCACACAGCCATGGCTGCCGGTCTGGACAGCAGAGGGCCCCAGGACACCTATGAGTTAAGCCCAGAGCCCATTGTGAGCACAGTAGCCAGACTGAAACGCTCCATCAACCAGGCAGACAGGAGGTTCTCAGAACCCAGCATGCCACCCTCACAAGAGTGCCTTGAGAGCCGGATGACAAACCAAAAACTAACCAAAAGTGAGGATGACTTCACCGCGCCCCAGGCCAGCCCTCATTTGGAAAGCGAGGACACGGAAGACCCATTTCCAGAGGAGGTCTTCCCTGCAGTAGAAGGCAGAGCCAAGAGACCAGTGGACCTGATGATCAAGAACTCAACCCAGAGTTTGCCTTTGCTGCAGGGAGCAGGACCCAAAGCCTTCTCCAGCGGCTCCCTGGGTGGGTCCTCTGACAATTCACCATCAGCTTCTCCTTCCTGTCCCCAAAAAAATTTCTTCACCAGACACCTTTCTTTCACCATGAAGACGGAGAAAAGCAAGCCCAGCAGAGAGATCAAAAAGCACTCCCTGTCATTTTCCTTTGCCTCTCACAAAAAAGTGCTGCCCAAGACCCCGAGCGGTGAGACTGGGAAACCCAAAGACTTCACCAGAGACCAAGTCAAGAAGGGCGTGAGAAAAGAAAGTCAGCTTGCTGGAAGGATCGTCCAGGAGGGCAGGCCTGACGTCTACAGCCAAGCAGCTGCAGGCTGCGGCTTGCCACCTAGGGCCCCCTCAGTCAATGACGTGTTCCAGATGGTTGACCAGAGGAGCCCAGGAAGCCCGCCATCTTATGAAGAGGCCATTCAGTGCCAGGCGTCTGGACTCTTAGCCTATGGCAGCCAGACCGTGGGAAGTATGCGGGCGAGAATGCTGAGCCAGGACTCCATGCCGCCGCCTCTTCTGCCTTCTCACCATGGAGGAGGCTCCAGGATTGTCTGCCATGAAGAAGCACTTAGTGGACGCAGCCTGTCTTCCATGACTGAGTGTTGGGAACAGGGTGGGACTGCGAGTCCCTCTGGGGAAACTCCAGGGCCTGGAACCACACCGGGGAGGCCTGAGCTTCCCAGGCTCAGGACTGTGTCCGAGTTTATGCAGAAGGACAAGCGGGACTATCTCCGGCGACGATGCAGCCAGCCCATCTTTGAGGCTGACCAACTCCAATATGCTAGAGAATCCTACATTTAGGAAGGAAGGCCATCGGCCATGACTCGCTGGTGGCATCTCTGTAAATATGTAACTACAGAAAGAACTGCTTGTAGATTGTCTTCAAAAAAGTCATGAATAAGCTCTTTCAGAAAGTTGTGTAGAGCCCTGCAGGAGGACAGCGTCACGGTGGCACTTCAGAGAGTTTCTGTGCATACCTGGATTTGTGCAATATGTAGCAAATGTATTATAGACAGGTGTTAGGTACAAGGACTGTACCTACCCAATGCCTGAATGCATTTATTTGTGTATTTGTGGTACGTTGCTATTCTTTGCCCCCCGCCCCCCGGGGCATATTTTTGTGGGTTAGTGTTTTAAAATCATCTTTGCTTTTTTTAATGTTTCCTCAAATGTCATGCCAATTTCACAATTTCCACCAATTCCATCTAGGGAAAAATGTTTGACTCGTCAGTGTATATTTACTAAGGAGGTTTGTTTGTTAACTAACCACAGCAGAAGACAGAAATGGAGTCCAGCGTTCAGAGTTGTCAAAAAACATTAGAAAAAAGACCATAAAGAAAATTACGAAAATACTTAAGTAAGTCCTTTTAAGGACTATCTAATTAAATTAGGATAGATTAGTGGAAACACATTACATCAATATTAACTCACTTAGAGCACTTTGAGTTTTCTTTGTAGTTCAATGGTGTCATGCAACAGTTTGGAGGTAAATTATTTTATATACAAAACTTCAATGTAATTTCACTACAATAAATTACCTTTCTTATTTGCAAGTGAAAATTTTCTTTCTTTTTTTTTTTTTTTTAGGTCTGGGGACTGAACCCAGGGGTCCTCTACCACTGAGCTACATCCCCAGTTCTTTTTATGTTTTATATTGAGGCAGGGTCTCACTAAGTTGCTGAGTATTTCAGTGTTTGATAAAATGTATTTATAGTTACATAGAGAGATTTGTGGATATATATGTAAATAAACATATCTTCCACTATGGTCTTAGTAACTTCTTAATGGGAATCAGAGAATTCCCTTCAAAAGGTCACTAAGACTGTAAGTTAGGAAGCATCAAATGTGTCCCCACTTTACCACTGACCTGAGCTCCATGTGATCTTACCCAGTTTATGGAAATCATTTCCAAATTTCTTTAAAAAAAAAAAAAAGTAGGGGCAAGAGCTCTGTACCTCCATAGCAGAATTCTTTCTTGCCCAACACGCATGAGGCCCTGGGTTCAATTCCCAATACCAACAAAAATAAATAAATAAAATTAAGAAGTGGGAGTGAGCCTGGCATTCCCTGGCACATGTGAACCACACTGTTGGCAGATGCTTATGGCTCCTGGAAGTCAGCAATATCATCCTCATTACTCTTTGAAGAGTGGAGGAGAAGATACAGTTACCATCTCAGGTACGGTGTGGTGTGGGAACCCCCTTCCATCCATGTGGGCCATGACTTTTCAATTGGGATTTTCCATACATTCATTTGCAAGGGCTGCTAACAAAGTACCACAGAGCAGGTGGTGCGGCCAGCAGGTAGCTATTGTGGCTCTGAGATCTGGGGTTGCAGGGTTGGGTCCTCCTGAGGTCTGTGAGGGAGGGTTGTGCCAGGCCCCTTCCTTGGCGCAGATGGTGCGTTCTTCACGTTGTCCTCCTTCTATGTGTGTCTGTCTCTAAGCTTCCCCTACCTATAGGGACACTCACTGGTCACATTGGATTAGGGCCCACTCTAATGACAGCACTTTACTTCTTGATAGGCCCTATCTTCAAATACAGTCACATTCTGAGGTATAGGTAGTTAAATGCACATATAGTTTTAATAAGTGGGTGAATTTTGATGGGAGGGGGACATAATTCATCTCAGATCACCAAATTTTGCAAAATAGTACTTAAAGATACCTTGATTACACCAACTCAGTTAATGCTTAACCATAACGAGAAGACTAAGGCTTCCATAGATATCTGGATGGAACTAGCATGGTACTTCAGTCAAGAATCCAGGAACACCAGGGTCCTGTTCTTCATGGGCATCGTAAGGTCCTGTGTTGGTCAGTTTTCCATCACTGTGACCAAAATACCTGGTAAGAACAACTTAGAGAAGGAAGAGTTTGTTTGGGGCTCAGGGTTTCAGAGTTTCAGTTCATGGTCCGCTAGCTGTGGGCCTGAGCTGAGGCAGGACATCATGGCCACAGCGCATTCAGAAGAAAGCTGTTCAGTTCATGGCACCCAGAAAGCAGAGAGAGAAAGCTTGTGAGAAGCCAGGGACAAGATATAATGCCTAGGACCTGCCCCTCCAGTGACCTACTTCCTCCTGCCCCACCCCACCTACCTCCAGTTATTATTAATCCATCAAGGGGATTAATCCACTGATGAGGTTACAGCTCTTATCATTGCCCAAAAGTCAGACCTCTGGACCTTTCTGCATCGGGAATCATGCTTTCAAAACTTGAGCTTTCAGGAGACATTAAAGATCTAAACCATAACAAGGTCAAATCGTGGCAAATGGGGCAGTCACAAATGTGCCTGATGCCCCAGAGTGAGGCACGTGGTGAAACGAGATTGGAAGTCAAGGCTTCCCCTTAAACCCAGGTCTGCTCCCCTGGAAAATTTTCTCTCCTCCTAAAGAGAACTAAAGTTGGGTGCTTTTGCTGGAGCCGAGCACAACTGCCATGCCTCAGAGCTTAAACCCAGCAAGTACTCTAGTGGCATTGCCCCAGGTCCTCCGGCAGCCGAAGCAGCTGCTGGGGTGTGCAGCACTAATAAGTCAAATAATAGCTAAAGGCCATGGTGCTTCCTTGACCAGAGATGAGAACGTCCAAAGAGCTGTTACAAACACTGTGGATCCTCACGAGTGACCAAAAAGATAGATGGGTGAATGTTCCTGACAGTGATCTCGTGGGAAGAACCACCATACTTGCTTTCCTCCTGGAGGGTCAAGCCTACAAAAGGCCAATGCACTGGGATCCCACATAGTTCAAGTTTCTCTTTCAACTGATTTATATAATCTCAACTCTTCACCTGCAATGGGAAAATTACTAAAGAGACAGAAATAGAAATAGTTCCTTAGAGATGGAAGTGAATCCCATTTTAACACTATTTCAGCTGAGGCTGAGACCCTGCATTTCATCCACTCCAGAATACACACCAAACGTGAGGAAAACCCAGTGGCGTGACGTGCCTCCCTCTTCCTGTACTGAGAGGGAAGTGCTGTGAGATGAGCAACCCTGCAGAGTGCAAACTCTTGCCAGAAAAAGGAAACACAGGATGTTCACATCTCCGTGGGAATAGAAAGACAACACGTGGACCCGGTCGGAGCACGCAACCCAGAGCACAGAACCTGAGCTGCGAATGCCCCAAGATCCACTCCCAGAGACAAGGCACCAGCCCTGTCTGAGCAGCGGTCTCTCCACCTCTGAAATGAGGAAATAGTAACGTGCGTGAGCTGGGGAACCCATGCAGCCGAAATCCCAGTCACAGAGGCTTACGCAAGAAGGACAGAGGACCGGAAAGCTGGAAAGTGAGAACACAGTGCCCAAATCTGCAGGATCCAGTTCACAATGCCAATGCAGGGTGCCCTGTCCCACAGTGACCAACAACTAAAAGTGCCAGCTCCCAGCCCTGCCCAGCCGCCCCGAGAGCAAAGAACCTGGATCCCCAGGATATCACGGCCGCCCCCAGGCCTGGACTCCCAGTCTGTTTTGCTTTCAGTAGAGAACCCACACTCACAGCCAGAAGCAAGACAGGTCCTGGACATTCTGGGGAAGGGTTTTGATGTCACTGTTGGGGGAAGCTGAGATCAATTCTCAGACATTTCTTTCCCTGCTTGTTCTTCCTCCCCTTCAATCCTGCATTCAAGTCGCAGCAGTATGATCTCATTAGAAAATAGTCTGATCCAGCTCCACTTAGGATGTGAATGTCATCTTTAATAAGTACCTAAGCATCTTTTTCTTTGGTCTTTCATCAAGATAATGAACTATTTTATTCTTCCATTGGATTATATTTTTGATCAACTTTATTGAGGTATAACTTATATACGAATCTATTAAAAATGTACAACTGGAGGAATTGTACCTGATTTTCACACCTGTAGAAACATCATCAGCCAAAACACTGAACATGGTGTTGGTAAGACTTGGCATAATCAGATTTGCTTCATTTTTTTATTGTTGTTGACAAATTTATCTTGATTATCCATTCTAATGGAAATGTAATAGACTCTCATTTAATTTGAATTTTCTATTGATTTTGTTTATTATTATTGTTGTTATTATTTAGGTACTGGGGATTGAACCAAGGGACATTTTACCACTAAAGTACAAAACTAGTCTTCTTAATTTTTATTTTGAGACTAAGTTCTCTCTAAGTTGCTGAGGCTGGCCTCAAACTTGTGATCCTCCTGCCTCAGCCTCAGGAGTCACTGAGATTACAGGAGTATTGCACCATGCCTGGCTCAAATGATTTTATTTTGCTGAAACCCATTCCAATATTTCTCTTGATTGTGCTTGTTATGTTCTGTTGAATAAATCCTTTCCTAAATCTTGTCATGAAGATTTTTTTCCTCTGTTTTCTGCTATAAGTGTCAAAGTTTAAGATTTTATCTTTAGGCTTATCTGTGATCCACCACAAGCTAATTTCTGTGTATGATATGAGGTAAGACTCAGTGTAGATTTTTTTTTCTTGCACATTGAAAGACTACTTCTTAAAAAGACTCTTCTCACTGATTGCCTTGATGTCTTTGTGAAAAATCAATTGACTATAAATGTACACACAGGTCTATTTTTGGACCCTATTCTGTTCCATTGATCTACATATCTATTCTTCTGCTTATATCTCACTGTTGTGATTATTGAAACTTCACTGGATGTCTGTAAATTACATGATATAAGTCCCACAACTCTGTTCTTAAAATTGTTTGGATTACTCTAAGTCCTTTGCATCCATCTAAGAAAAGTTTTGTATTATTTTTTTTCTTTTGAGATAGAATCTTGCTGAGTTGCTTAAGGCCTTGCTGAATTGCTGATTCTGGCTTTGAACTTGAATCCTCCTGCCTCAACCTCCTAAGCCACTGGGATTATAGACATGCCCCACCATACCCAGCCAGCCATCAAATTTTAACATCAATTTGTCAATTTCTGAGAATTTGATTTGAGTTGAAGTGAATCTATGTAACAATTTAATGAGAATTGATACCTTAAAATTATTGAGTCTTCCATTCCATGAAAATAATATGTGTTAAATAATTCTGCTCATGTGGGGCTTTTAAAATTCCTCCCAGCAGTGTCCAGTGATTTTCAGTGTTCTCTGAACATCTGTTATTAAATTTATTCCCAACTATTTTGTTTTGGAACCTATTATAAATAGAAGTGATTTTTCCATGTATATTCTAGTTTTTTTGATGCTGGAACATAAGAACAGAATTGATTTTTGTATTTTAACCTTGCAAACTTGGCCATGTTCACTTATTACTTCTAGTTGTTTAATATATCCTCAGTATTTTCTATGGAAATAATCAAATAATCTACAAACAAGGATAATTTTGCTTCTTCCTTTCCAATCTTTGTCATTTTCTTTTTCTTCCTTTATTGCAATGGCTAGGACTCTACTTCACTATTAAGTAGAAATGGTGAAAATGAGGACATTTACCTTTTTCCTAATTTTAGTAGGATATTATTTTTACACCTTTATGTGATGCTGGCTATAGGTTTTTAATAGTGTTGCTTATGAGTTTGAAGATCTACCCTTATATCCTTAGTTCAATGCAATTTTTTTATGAATGGATGTTGAAT